ATTAGTTCCACTAAAACTATCATTATTTCTCAATAAAACAAACTTTACTTGAACAAAATATCTCAACTCTAAGTATTTTTAAAAAATTAATTAAAACTCTAGCTACTTATGGACAACTCTGTATAAATATTATTAATTCCCTTACTATCATAACACACCTGTAAATTAATATTGCACTAAAAGTGCATTTGACCTTTATTTATATTTATATTGATAAATGTAGTAGATAATGATTTAACACTCACAATTTTGCTTCCTATATAAATCAGAAAGTTTTTTGTAAAATAATAAATTCTTCTTGAAGTTTAATTTTTAAATCTATTGTAATATAAATTATAATTTATTTATAATTCATACTAAATATGAAATTCTTAATAGCATTGATGTGTGGATTGGTTTGTATTGTGAGCGCAGACTATCCTATAGAAGACTATAAGGCGGTCGCGAAGTCCCGGAATTTTACGGGAAAAGTGGTTGTAGTGACCGGTTCCTCGTCGGGCATCGGAGAGGGAATCGTTAAACTCTTTTCAATATTAGGGGCTAATGTTGTGGTCAATGGAAGGACAGCACCTAATGTTCAACGAGTGGCCAAAGAAGTGCAAGAATTATCACCTCTAAAATTAAAGGTATTTTTATTAGAAATTTAAATTTGAAAATAAAACAAATTTTTAAAAAATTAATCTTTTTCCACAGCCATTAGAAGTTGTGGGAGATTTGACCAAAACCTCTGATGTAAACAATTTAATCGATTCTACAATCAAAACGTTTGGCAAAATAGATGTGTTAATTAATAACGCCGGTATATATCCGGTGACAAACATCACACAACCGGATCTGTTATCAGTTTGGGATCAGATATTTGCACTCAATTTACGCGCTGTCGTAGAACTCATCCACCGATCGGTTCCACATCTGGAGAAAACCAACGGAACTATTATTGATATCTCAAGTTTGTCCGCAATTACACCGGTATATCATTTTTAATATTTAAATAATTAAATATTGTATTATACTAGTGCATCTCATATTTGTCCCAATATAAATTTTGTTTACTTTATTTTAAAATTAATTATATTTCTATTAGCTTAAAATTTTTCTTGGTTATGGAGCGGCCAAAGCGGGTCTGGATATGTTGACCAAAATATTAGCCCTGGAATTGGGACCCAAAGGTATTCGTGTCAATACTGTTAAGTAAGTATTTAAATAAGTTTTCTCTCTCTCTCTCTCTCTCTCTCTCTCTCTTTCTTTCT